AGGGTCACCTATTATGCAAAATCCACTTGTTCATGTCTCTTCTACATCAACATGTCTTATTTTCATCTAAAGTAACAGACAGAGAATCAGCACTTTGGATACAGGGCTGAAACAGAGGGGATTATGGGTAATGCTGCAATGATCTGTTTGGGGTTTCAGCCAATCAGAGACAGGCTCTGTATATATCTGAGACCTTTAATATATTGATGAAAAACAGTATAATAGGGGACCTGTAAGTAATGAGTTACACACTTTTGTGTCTGTCGTTGAAAATGTCCTCGAATAAAACCTTCAATTCGGACAAAGTGATTAATTGGATTAGCCTTTGTTCTTTAAATCAGATTAGCATTCAAGGGTTTGAAAGCAGGAATTTAGAAAATACTTAACTCACCACTGGTTCTGGGTAATATTGTAATGCCTAAAATAAATGCTTTTAAAACAAAAAACGTGAATAAAATCCTGAATTTTACAAACTCATTAATCTGATTAAATCTGTCTCTTTATTTTTTTTATAAACATTTTTAAAAGGTTTTCCAACCTGGTCATTTATGCTACGTCTTTTTATAGTCATTGTCCGAAAGCAAATACTAGTAATTGTGGCAATATATGGAGCTTTTAGATAATACAAATATGTGCTTCCATTGCAAGCGGGAGGTCAAACACTTAATTAATTTTTTTAACAAATGAGGAAGTGGATCACACGTGTGAGAAGCAATCCTACAGATTGTATAATATAAGTGTTTCTGTGGAGGGGGGGAAACTTCTGAAGCAATTGGAGTCAGCACTCAGAGAGAGACACGAGGAGAGCTGGAGCTTTGATGGCAAACACTGATGGTTTATTTGGAGCNTTCGGCCGGAGAATTCACACGACATGTCACGGGCCACGATCTGACCACACGGATGAGATGCCACACCTTTTACATTACATTTAGCTGAGGCTTTTATCCAAAGCCACTTACAATAAGTGCATTCGACCAAGAAGATACAAACTTGAAGAAAACAGAATCATATAAGTACACCAGGTTTCATAGAGCCAAAAATATTTCAAGTGCTACTCAGCTGGCTTTAGATAAGCCAGCCCTTTATTAGTATATAAGTGCTTTGTTAGTAGTTCTATCGCTCAAAGTGGACACCTTCCTCTCCTATGAGGTTCTAACGGGTAAACAACTTTCTTCATTCGTTAAACTAAACAGCGGAGGACACTGAATCAACTTTAGTTGTCGGTTATGGCTCGGGGTCATCTACACCCCGAGAAGGATGTGTCCCAGGTGTCCCACAACAATGACTATCTCTGATACACAGCTGCCCGGTCACAAACTGGTAACAACATCAACTTGCTAGGGCAGCCCCTCCTTAAGCGGGATAACGGCTGCTCAAGGTTGGAGCATCTGTGTCAGAGGGTGAAGGAGGACACGAGGGCAAATGATTCCCTAGCATTAGATCATTCAAACAGATTTTAATGAAGCCTCAAACTCTCATCTACGTCCCCTTTGTAATGGAATCCAGATCCCAGTGTTAGACCCGTTTTATATTTAACCACTTCCTGTCTCTGTTTCCAGGGTCGTAACGTGATCATCGAGCAGAGCTGGGGCAGCCCGAAGGTCACGAAGGACGGAGTGACGGTGGCCAAGAGCATCGACCTGAAGGACAGGTACCAGAACATCGGAGCCAAGCTGGTGCAGGACGTGGCCAACAACACCAACGAGGAGGCGGGCGACGGCACCACCACCGCCACCGTGCTCGCCCGCGCCATCGCCAAGGAGGGCTTCGACATCATCAGCAAGGGAGCCAACCCCGTGGAGATCCGCAGAGGAGTCATGATGGCCGTGGAGACCGTCATCAAGGAGCTGAAGAACCTCTCCAAGCCGGTCACCACGCCCGAGGAGATCGCACAGGTGAGACATGATGAGAGGTTGATTTAGAGACATGATGAGGGAGTGCACGGGGGGGGGGGGGAGATGAAGAAGACATGTCTTTAATTAATCCCACAAGTAGGGTTATTCCGTTTTACTGTGGTTACGGTATAACACCGTAA